CTTAGGCACTTTTTGCAATGATCTTAAACAGTGTTGGGTTTCAACAGTAATATATGACAATCTTTCGGATGAGACGTTAAACCGAGGTCCTGACTCTCTGTGGTCATTAAAAATCTCATGGCACTTCTCGTGAAAGAGCAGGGGTGTAACCCCGGTGTCCTGGCCAAAGTCCCTCTATCGGCCATTACGATCATGGCCTCCCAATCATCCCTTTCCACCGAATTGGCTCTAACACTGTCTCTCCACTCCACCAATAGCTGGTGTGTGGTGAGTGCACTGGCGCCGTTGTCCTGTGGCAGCCGTCGCATCATCCAAGTGGATGCTGCACACTGGTGGTGGTGTGGAGAGTCCCCCCTCATGATTGTGAAGCGCTTTGGGTGTATGGCCATACACAATAAATGCGCTATATAAATACACATTACATTACATTACATTTAAAGTCATGTTTTTTTAAAGTAACTGTATGGAAATAACGTGATCATATGAGATCTGTTGTTTTTGCATTAAAAAATATTAAGATTGTAACATAATAAACAGCCAAAGAAAATGCAAGCGTATTTAAGGAATACCCATGTCAATATAGGCATTTAAAAATATTTCCACATTTTTCGAGTGCCCCGGACTTTCATTTGCTGTTTATTCTGATGAATCCTATAGGGTGTTCGCAGGGTCTTAAAAATGATTAAAACTTGAAACTTAGAAATGTAAGGCCCTTACAAAGTATTAAATGCTATTTTGCAAGGTATTCAATTTAATTTTATTTTATTTTTGAATATGCAATGTATAGTTGAATGCTAAAGTTTGCCTGAATTAAATCTGTGAATATCGGGATGCTGTGTAGTTCATGAAATCAATAAAACCCTGCTAGATTTGACATCATGCTGCTTTGTTTACTGCAGTACAAAAGGCAACACCTTTATTTCTGCATCTCTATATAGGGGAGTTACCATCCTACGTCCCACATGACATCACACGGGTTCAGTGGTGGAAAGAGTACTGAAAAAATCACACTCAAGTAAAGTACCATTACTTGCCTAAAAATGTAGTGCAAGTAGAGTAAAAGTATCTGTTGTAAATTTTACTCAAAGCATAAGTAAAAAGTAGACCTTTCAAAAGTACTTTGAGTAGTGAGTAGTGAGTTTCACGCTGTAAAAAGTTAGTACATGTGTGTAAACGTAACATTCTGTAGTGCATTTAGTTATTGCCCAGCAGGAACACAGCGTCATACGATGTTAATATTAGGTTAGATTTAGGTTGTGATGTCAGGTGACCAAAATACAATGTCTAGCCAGCGTCTAAGGACAACATTATTTTGATGTCCAGTAATGACGTTGATATTTGGCTGATTTTAGGTTGTTGGAAAGTCACCAAAATCCAACGTCGAGCCAACATCTTAAACCAACGTCATATTGACATCAAATACTGACATTTATTCATCAGGTATGGCAACCAAAATCCAACGTCTGATAGGTGTCATAGTGGTAACATCCACACAAAGCCAAGCTGTAACATCATTAGACGTTGATGTTTGGTTGGTTTTAGGTTGAACGTTGGACATTGATGCTGGCATTGAGTTCTGACGTGAACCCGATGATCATTTCGAAACAAAATGCTCCCTTAACGTTAGTGTACAACATCAATCTAACGGCATGTTGATGTCTTGTGCCTTCTGGGTGTTTAAGGCCATTTCGGCCATCATACCGTAAACATCCGTCATCTTCTCATCAGTGACACGCATCTACACAGTCTCTGGGTTAATGAGTGTAAAGATTTTGAACATCTTCTTGTACACTTTTAATGCTTCCAAACAGTTTGCTGCATTTATAAAGCGCCCATGTCTTGAGGTAGTTCATTATGATGTGATTTACCATCTACTGTTTGAGCGATTTGATTGGACAGGAATTACAGGACTGATTTTTCTAATCCTCATAGACAAGAGAAAATAAAGTAGTTACTGCAGGTTGAAGGAAAGTAGTGGAGTAAAAGTACCGATACTGCACTAAAAATGTACTCAAGGGAAAGTAAAAGTACACATTTATAAAACTACTTAGTTAATTACAATTCCTGAGAAAAACTACTAAATTACAGTCAATTGAGTATTTGTAATTAGTTACTTAACACCACTGCATGGTTTCAACTGTGCATACCGGTTGCAGAAAAAAGACCAGTTGCAATAGCAGACATGTCATGTTGTGCGGTAGGATGCCAAATTCCAAAAAGAGAAAACTTGAATTTTACCGTACACCACACAGCTTTTAATGCCAACCACAAATGTCTTTGGCTAACAGTCATCATAAGAGCTGAATGGAGTGAGGACCCAAGAAAAATGCCGGACTCTGCAGTTCTCATGTTGTATCAGGTAAGTTCACGCTAAGCTGAATCATACACATGACTTGTTTTTGATTGCAGCAATGATTTCAGCAAAAACAGTGAAATAAGGTTAATTCAAGGTGCAGGTGATTGTCTTCAGAAGCATTTGTTGTTGTGCTGGTTGAAAATCTCTTCACAGTCTAACAGTAATGATTACAGTAAATGATCTAAATGTATTTATATGTATTTTTATATTTTGGGTAAGGCATAAAACAAACATCCAATTAAATCGAGTCGGACCGACATCTCGCATAGTTCCGATAAGTAGCTCAAACTGTCTGTCAGCAAATGCAGATTTGAACAACTGCGCAGCCGCTTGTACTCAGCTCCGCCGACCACCGCACGTTCACGAGAAAGACAAGCGCGCGTGATCGGTAAAAACCTGCTGAATCAAACCTTTTTAAAAAAGTGAATCAATATTGGAGTTACCTTTGCACGCTGGAGAAAGGATGACACCATGTCTGAAAGGAATTGTTCTTTTTTAAATCTGTTTTAGCGTCACGCAAAGCTGATGTAACGTTAGATGTTGTTGTTACAAATAGGTTATATCTTCACAGAAGTGTTGTTCAGCCGTCGCACGCCGCCGGACAAGCACTAGTTGCTTTTAACACATGAGAGAGGGTTCTTTTGCTGTGCTCGTGTTTAAGGAGGTGTGGGTCTAGACGGCAGGGGAGGGAATGAGATTCAGAGATTTATGCTAAGCTTTTGGCATTGTGGAAGATCACCTACTGCACCTTTAAACTGCGGACACTGAATGCTCAGAATGAAATGTAAAAGTGTAAGTTCACATATCCTGCCATACAGGTGCAGTTCACTGTCAGAATGCAGTTGTTTTGCTTGTTGATAATTGCCCAGGCTTTGTATAGCTCCGTCTTCTTTCCTTGTTTTTGGCAAGGCAGAACCTCGGTTTTTAGCACTACATAGTGTTGAATCTGGTAATCATGGAGCATTATTTCTTGCACATGACCACACAGAACAGAATTGTTGGTATCCAAAGACTTGTAGGCCTTTAACTTCTCTCTTGTAAAATCACTTGGAGCCTTTTCGGCTTATCCAATATCCATTGGGAGGGTGCTATCACAAATGTACCTGTCAGATGAACGCCGCTCACTTTGACGGTAATTTTGCCGAATCATTGTGCTTATCACTGGGTGACGAGCTGTTATAATACGCTGACAGCATTAAGTAAATAATATATATAATATGTAATCAACATATCTCTAATACAACAAACTCTGTACCGCATCGGATGTCATTTCCTCGCTGTAAATGCTAGCGCTCAACTGAAGCAGAGAGGATTCTTTATAAGATAGTTGAGGGAGACCCTGATTTACAATCAGAGAATTAGAGACAATTAGAGAATGACAATCAGTTTTAAATCACTTTCATGTTAAATTTGTTTTGGATTAACATCACTTCTTTTTTTTGTTTTGTTTTTTGAGTTTGGCTCTCTTAAGACTAAACTGTTTCAGGAATTTCAATACAAAAGGAAAAATGTTTGTTTAGTTTTTGTTACATTAATATTGTATTAATATCCCTTTACAGCCATATCCTGTACAGTTTTGTTGTCTAAGTGGCGGTCGTTTCAAACTAAAAGAGTCCTGTGGTCCACTACAGTGGACATGCTGTAAAATTAAAAATAAAAACAAAAATGTAAAAACACTAAATTCTGGATTTTTTTTAACCCAAAGGATGTAGAAAATTGAAAAAAAAAAAAAAATCTTTGGGTCTCAGGAGGATATATTACTTTTATAAGTATCCTTTCCAAACATTGCTCATGAAAACCCATTTCTTCCACAGGATAAATCATGTATATGCAAAAATTTTAGCTCACAGTTTAACTACCTGTCTTGGAAGTTCTGGCCCGTTTCCACTGAGTGGTACCGTAGCGTACCGTACCACTTTTTCGGCACCCTTTCGAAAGGGTATCAAAAATGAGAAAGGGTACCAAAAGGTGGAACTACACACGCAGCTGAATTCTATTGGTTTACAGAGAAACGTCATTCGCTTACGCAACAAGCCAGAATGAACCCCGCCCCCCTTCCATGTTTAAAATACACAGCGAGAGATTACAGCACAATTATATACATATAATAACGAGCCATGGTCGAGCCGGGCTCAAACAAACGTTGTCTTGATGAACAGCCACAAAGCCAAAAAGAAGAGCAGATTTACCCTGTGCCCCGTAGTTATTTACGAGCCAGACTAAAGCGCGAGCGGTTTGGCTTTCTTGTTAGCGCTCGCCGCGCATCAATATCTGAAATAACAAACTGCTTGAGCTCATGATAATAACGTGCGCTTGATTATTGACGTGCTTTTGAAACCCAATCCTGTCAGAAGCTGATAAACGCGGGAGTGAAGCTCGAAAAAAAGGAGACAGAAAAAAGGAGCACATTATTTCTTCAGCAAACGTGAACAAACTGCCATGTTTAACTATTACTATCACACGACTATTATGACGCTCTAACAGAGGCTACATGTGCTGCTGAAGAGTAAAGACACAGAGGAGAGGTTTACACTGACTGTAGGCTATGTTTTGTGTTGTTTTTTACGCATAAATAAGGACTAAATGTCTGCTGTGTGTAGGTCTTCTGTAGTTGGTAATATATCGGAGACCTTAAGGGTTCATATATGTTGCATTTATGTTGCATTTATTTATTTATTTTATATAATTACAGACGTTACAGTAGGCAATTTCACGCTGTCATTGATCTGCAGATATAATCAAATCATGTTCATAGAAAAGTTTGTAATAAACATTTATACACAAGTATTTATGAGTGTAAAGCACTTCTCACAAAACAGACGCAGACCCGAACCGTAGCGTACTGTACCAGTCAGTGGAAACGAGCCATTTATCTCACAATTCTGCATTTTATTGCGATTTTTTTTTGCTAACATGTTCTTCTGTGGTGGAAATAATCTTCCAGTATATGGAAGTACAGTATATAACGAGAAAAACCATGATATGAGCACAAAAACAAAGCCATCAACTAGTAACAGCGTACACCACTGCCATTTATTGACATTCAAGTCAGATGTTATTAACAGTCAGATATAATATATTATAAAATATAGTCAAATCCCTTGCGTGATCCTTCAAGTTGTATTTGCAACACAAAATAATAAACTTAAAAAAATGTAAATAACTTAGACAAAATTAATAAACAACCTTCATGGACCACATTAAACAAATATGGGTCGCACTTTACAGTAAGCTTTCATTAGTTAATGTTAGTTAAGGTATTAACTAACATGAACGAATAATGAACAATACTAGTACAGCATTTATTAATCATAGTTTAGCATTTACTAATGTATTATCCCATGCTTGTTAATGCACCATGAGTTAACAATGAACAATCATTAACAAACATGAACAAATACTGTAATAAATGTATTGTTCATTCATTGTACATGCTAGTAAATGCATTAGCTAACATAACTAACTAATGCAAACTTATTGTAAAGTATTACACAAATAAGCAAGTAAACTCGTTTTCCCGCTCAAACCGAGGAGGGAATCCTCTTGTAATTGAAGATGGCACGCAGTTGTAGTTATTTTCCAGCCCAGCAGAGCGCGCTGTTGTCCAGAGCTGCAGTTTTCACACGTTAGCATGCGGCTCAAATTTCCCCTCTCTCCTGAGCTCATCAAACTTTAATAAAGATCTGTCAAAGAAAGAGATGTGACTTTTAAGCAAACCTTAGATACTGTTTCACCGTTTTCAACAGCATTGTTAGTCTATTTTATTTATAGACACCAACAATACTGAATGATTGCACAGAACTAAAATGTCAATATACACTCACTGGCCACTTTATTAGGTACACCTGACTATTACCAGGTTGGACCCACTTTTGCCTACAGAACTGCCTTAATCCTTTGTGGCATAGATTTAACAAGGTACTGAAAATATTCCTCAGAGATTTTGCTCCATATTGACATGATAGCATCACACGGTTGCTGCAGATGTGTCGGCTACACATCCATGATGCCAATCTCCCATTCCACCACTTACCTAAGGTGCTCTATTGGATTGAGATCTGGTGACTATGTAGGCCATTTGAGTACAGTGGACTCATTGTCATGTTCAAGAAACCAGTCTGAGATGATTCAAGCTTTATGACATGGTGCGTTATCCTGCTTGAAGTAGCCATCTGAAGGGGCACACTGTGGTCATGAAGGCATGGACAAGGTCAACAACAATACTCAGGTAGGCTGCGGCGGTGACACAATGCTCAATTAGTACTAATTGGCCCAAAGTGTGCCTATGTAATATATCCCCCACAGCATAACACCACCACCCCCAGCCTGAACCGTTGATGCAAGGCAGGATGGATCCATGCTTTCATGTTGCTGATGCCAAATTCTGACCCGACCATCTGAATGTGGCAGCAGAAATGGAGACTCAGAGCAGGCAAAGTTTCTCCAGTCTTCAATTGTCCAGTTTTGGTGAGCCTGTGTGAATTGTAGACTCAGTTTCCTGTTCTTAGCTGACAGGAGTGACACCCGGTGTGGTCTTCTGCTGCTGTAGCCCATCCGCCTCAAGGTTGGATGTGTTGTGTGTTCAGTGATGCTCTTCTGCAGACCTCGGTTGTAACGAGTGATTATTTGAGTTACTGTTGCCCTTCTATCAGCTGGAACCAGTCTGGCCATTCTCCTCTGACATCAACAAGGCATTTGCGCCCACAGAACTGCCGCTCACTGGATATTTTCTCTTTTTCTGTCCATTCTCTGTAAACCCTAGAGATGGTTGTGCGTGAAAATCCCAGCAGATCAGCAGTTTCTAAAACACTCAGACCAGCCCGTCTGGCACCAACAACCATGCCACTTTCAAAATCCCCTTTCTTCCCCATTCTGATGCTCGGTTTGAACTGCAGCAGATCGTCTTGACCATGTCTACATGCCTAAATGCATTGAGTTGCTGCCATGTGATTTGCTGATTAGAAATTTGCGGACAAGTGTACCTAGTAAAGTGGCCGGGGAGTGTATATCATTAATGTAATTCGCCATGACTGAGAGTGAATGGAATTCTTTATTGATCCATCTGCTGAAATGCTTAAAAAAATGTGGTAAAAAATATGTAAATTTAAGGGCATTAAAGCAATAGTTCATCCAAAATGTAAAAGTTCAGTCAGCTTTTACTCTCCCTTTATTTTTGGTGAACATACTTTAGTTTGTTCTGATAGACACAAAAGATATGGAAATCAGTAGCCATTGACTTCCACTGTATTTGTTTTTTTCTTGCTATTAATGTCAATAAATATCTGGTATATAACACACTTAAAAATGTCCAAATAAATAAAAATATCCAATCTCCAAACTAGATTAATATTAATTTCATTTGCAGAATTTTACTTATTTATCTTGTACTTTTAACATTTTTCATCACATTTGACAACAAGTAAAACTAACTGCAAAATCTGACTACTAAGGGGTTGTTTTGGTCAATTTGACAGCTTTGTTAGAAAGTCATGTATGTATTAAAGGGTACCTATTATGCAAAAATCACTTTTATAAGGGGTTTAAACACAGTTGTGTGGCAGCAGTGTGTGAATATATCCAGCTTCTAATGGCATAAATTAATCAATTCTATTATTTTATATATAATATATTTTATTTATAATTTTATAATAGACAGTCTGCAGAAACTCTTTGATTGACATTCTACCTTTGTACGTGTCATCAGAGGAGAAATGCCCCGCCCACTAGTGAGGATCTCTTCTTCATTAGCATAGGACATTAGTCCTGTTTTGAATCTGCCACTAAGCTGACACACAGACTTTAGTAGCTCCGCCCTCTCTTGAAAAGAGCACAATCTCATTTGAATTTAAAGCGACAGTCACCAAAACGCCACAATTTGGATCAAAGCCTAAAGGGTCAGTTTCAGAGAGTTTTAAATATTATATGTGTGGTATTTTGAGCTAAAACCTCACATAAACTCTCCAGGGACATCAGAGACTTTATTTACATCTTGTAAAAGGGGCATAATAGGACCCCTTTAATGCATTATTATGTATTATTTAAAGAAAACAAGTGGAAAAATATATGTTTATTCACTAAAAGTTGAAGTAGTTGAAGTTGTTTAAAATGTGTTAAAAATATATACTTTTAAGAGTATTGACACTCAAATATGCCCTTTTATTAGTGCTTTGTGTGAGTAGGGATGCAATGATTAACCGATTTCACTATTATCTGCGGTTTAATTCGTCATGGTAATTAATCGTAAAGGCTTCTCGACACCGTGATTCTGCATGGAACAAAACTGCTGCAATTAAAAGTTAAACCAACTGTGCGCTAGTTTAAAGTTTCAAGCTTGTACACAATACGCACGCACACTGGATCAAAGGCTTATTTTAACTATGGCTGGGAAAGATTTTAACTAAGGACCATTCACATATTCCATCTTTTACGCGCACAAATTCATTACTTCCAATGGAGGCACATGGTTTGCGCGCATAATAGTGCCTTTCAGACAGAGGTTCAGCAGTCTTTGACTACATTTGTTCTATTTAAAAGGGAAATGCTTAGCTAATATTATGCTTAAATTTACAGTAGACAAAAACTATTTATTTATTTATTTATTTTTTCATTTCTCTGTGATATTTTCTACAGAAAACTGAATTTAATTTTCAGTTAAATTATTACTTATGTTTAAATGCCAAAAACACTTGTCACTTACTTTTAAGTCCAATAAGAAACGGATTTTATTGTTTGTTTTTATCATTATTTTGTGCTGTTTTAAGTGGTTACTGAGCAGCGATAATTAACTTAATTATTAACATAATTTAAAATATAAGAAGTTTTCATTCATTCATTCATTTTCTTGTCGGCTTAGTCCCTTTATTAATCCGGGGTCGCCACAGCGGAATGAACCGCCAACTTATCCAGCAAGTTTTTACGCAGCGGATGCCCTTCCAGCCGCAACCCAACTCTGGGAAACATGCAACAACATTTTCATGTGATTATCTAAACTAGTAGTATTTTGAAATGAAAGAACACATAATAATCGCGATAACCGTGATACTGTGATTATTCCTCAGACTATAATCGTACAACCAAAATCTATAATCATTGCATCCCTACGTGTGAGTAAAATCAATTTTAATGCATTTTGCTCAAGCGCGTCATGGTTTTGTCAAGTATGATGTGGATTAATATCTATGTTGATCCTGGAACATCATTTCTGTTTGAAAATGTAATCCATACCTATTCCCTACACCTAAACCCAGCCATAACTGTGAATTATTCCCAAAATCAGAGGGGAATAACACTTACGTAAGGCAGCATTTACACTGCAGATCTTGATGGTTAATTCTGATTTTGTGACTGAATCAAATTTTTTTTTGCAGACCTGCTTACATCATCTTTTAAAAGAGACTTGTATCTGATCGTCTGCATTTACACAGCACATGGCAAAGGCGCAATGACCAGGAAAAAAAGAGCGGGCGCTGACTAACAGCTGATAATTAAAGAGAGCTATTTTCTCTATTCCTGCAAGTAATCTGTTCACAGCTTTTGACAAGCTGTTTTACTCTAGTTTAAGACAGAAAGGATTTCTTTTGTCCATCTTCCTTTGATATATGGGCTTTTTTAAACCTTTAGGCATCTTAATGTAATGTCCATGGTGTGATTTATGCACATGATGTATGCACAAGTTTTATATTAGTTTATATTGGTTACATGGCGGACATTGCTCTTTCTCGCTCTTGCTAACATGCTTAACTACCTGTGCTATATGACAATATAAAAGCGGTTTAAGTCCTCATGAATGAGATTTAAGGTTTGGGACTCTGCTAAAGTCTGTTCTGTAAGGAAATTGTCATACTTGACGTCATCTGTTTTTTTTTAATGACGCGTGACAGGTGAAAATTCGATCTACCTGCTTACAGTGCAAACAGGCGAACACATATCTGATTCATATCGAATAAATGAACAAGGCCTGAATCTGATTACGGAATCCATGTGATTTGTTCCTGCTTGCACGTACATGGGCCATATCCAATCTATGCCACATGGAAGGAAAAAAAAAAAAAATCGGAATTGAGTCACTTGAACAGTGCAATGTAAATGCGGCCAAACAGTGCATAAATCTAACAATAAGCCTAAACTTAACATAAACGGTAAACGTTTTCCTTTATTCTGATTGGCTGATTGGAATGTTGTTCCAGGATCAACATAGATGTTAATCCAAGAACATGTTTTACTTGGTGAAGTCAGGTTAGGATTTTGCTCACTGCAACTCTCCCGATTGGTGGAATGTTCTACAAAGCATCATGGGTAATGTAGTTTTTCCTGCATGAACTCCACAATTAAACAGTCTGAAGTGTTTACACCAGATCTGTCAATGAATGTTTATCTGTTAAAGTAAAAATTAAATTAAATTAAATTAAATTGACCTTTATTAAATCTGTTTTCTTAATATGCAGAAAATTACATATTACTCCTGGAACCCGACTGATTGAAATGTTAAGCTGTTTAGGTGTCATTTACCTCTGTTCTCTAGTTACCATTTCAATGAAAGACCCAATAAACCACCCAAACAAGCTCTACTAGTGCTTTACTGGTTTTGTTTGTCTCACGGATGACTCACGACCTTTACCTCACTTTCATTTTGCTGCAAGGAGAAAAAAAAAACACTACATATCATTTAGCACGTACTTTCCTTTGTGCCCTGGAGAAATGTCAACAAAATTGGGTTGGGTATAGATTTTCATTCACTGATGCTCTTCTCCTAGAGTATAGAGTTGTTGTGTTTTGTCTGAATTAAATTACTATTAGCTCAAGCCCTTCCCAATGAGGCGAGGCCTGTTCCTGAAGGTTATAATAAGGTGATATGCATGTGTTTTTACCTCACTGAGAAGAACCCAGACGTCAGAGTCCGAGTGAACCAGGATTCGCATGGCCTCTGATATACCCAGAGCTGCGTCCACTTCTCCTTCAGCCACTCCGTTCTTGAAAGAGCCTACAAACACAAGCATTGAGTAGTTTCCTCTCAGATTACACAGAAATTAAACATGCACTGGATGAAGCTCAACATTGTGTTGGGTAAAGATACTTTTAAAAGTCATATATTGCAATATAAGTCACTTTTTCTAAGTAACTTGATTGATGAATGTCTGAGATTTGTTGTTTTTACAATGTCAATGAATTCTGATAACATTGTTCAACCATTACCTACTATAATTCACAAATCAACAAACCCTGCTGAACTCATAACATTTATATAAATACTTTTTGGTCACACTTTGCAATAAGGTTTCATTAGTTAAAGTATTTACTAACATGAACTAATTATGAATAATTGTACAGCATTTATTAATCACAGGTCAACATTAACTAATGCACTGTTAACATTAGTTAATGCACCGTGAGCTAACTTAAACTAACGATGAACAACTGTTATTTTTAAATTAAAGCTGCAAGCAGCGATGAAAGGGACCTCGCAGCCGGGCTTACCGCCGCCCGATGGCCTCGGGATGACAGAAAACAGCAAACATTAATAATTTAAGCTGATATATATTTAAAAAACCTAAGAAAATCACAGATTTATGCCACACTTCCTCCTGTCAGCAGGTGGCGCTATAACTGTGACTCAATGTTAGCATGTAGATGTCTTCAGGACAGGGGCGGACTGGCCATCTGGCAATTTTGGCAAATGCCAGAAGGGCCGGACCATGTTTTAAATGTGGGCCGGTCAGTTTTTAAAAAAAATATGTATTGTTTTTAAGTGCAGACAGCTTTTATCTCTTGCTAGATGTGATATTATGATGATGATAATACTAATAATAATAATACTAATAATAATTATAATAATAATAAATGTTAAGCATTTGGCCCAATCTGCAACTGCCGCCTGGTTTCAAGATGGGCCGACCCAATCCGAGGTTACCCATACATAATCAAAATCTGGCAAGAATGTCAAATTATTTCACTAAATAGTGAATGTGCGTGTCTGTGGGTGGGGCTGTTTCGGTGTGGTAATGTGGGCTGGTGTGGCTACAGTGCCAGGGCTGAATTTTTGTCCCAGTCCACCCCTGCTTCAGGAGAGGAATCGTATTGAACGTGAAGTTTCAGGCAGGTCAGACATTCTTTGGCTAAGTTAAAAGCCAAGCATCCTTCTGTCAGCAGGTGGCGCTATGACTGTGAGTCAATATTGGCATGTAGATGCCTTCAGGAGAGGACTTTTATCAACCACGTGAATTTTCAGGCAGATCAGACATTGTGTGCTCGAGTTTTAAGTACTTCCTGTTCCATGGCGAAGCACTGTTGTTTGTCAGGCCGCCTTGGACACGGCCTTCAGCGAAAACTCTGGATCTCTCTCAAGATATCATCGCTAGGGCTTTCAGATAACACCACCCAATTTAGTGCTTATGCGATAAAATTTGTGGGAGGAGTTTTTTATGTTGTAAAACATGTCATTTCCTTTTGCCAGCAGATGGCGCTATAACTGTATCTGGATATTGGCATGTAAACATGTTCAGGTCAGTACTGTGATTAAACGTATGAATTGAGGCAGATCGGATAATGCATGCCTGAGTTATAACAACTTCCTTTTTCGTGGCGAATCGTCAAAGTTTGCGAGGTCGCCATGAACACGCCCTTCGATGAAAACTCTAGATTTTCGCAATTCAACATTGCCAAGGCCTTTAGATGACAAAACCCAATTTAGTGTTGATCGAAAAAAAAAATCCCTATGAGGAGTTCATTAAAATCGCCTGGAAATGGCAAAAACGCTACATTTTTGGCGCAGGAAGTTAAAAATATCCGACTTCCTGTTGGGTTTGAGATTTCACTCCAAGAGACTTTTTTGTTGGAATTGGCATGTTCGACATGTGTGCCAATTTTCGTGCGTGTGCGTGAATCGTAGCTCGGGGGCCAGCCAGTCAAATGTGCTTAGGTGGCGCTGTCGAGTCATTTTGTCACACCCCACTTCCGAAACCCATAACAAACGTAAATTCACGATTCATTCTACAAAATAAGAAGAAAAAAGCGGAAGAATAATAGTAAGAAACGGAGCAATTCCAATTAGGCCTACGCACCATAGGTACTCGGTCCCTAATTAACAAACGTAATGAACAAATACTGCAATAAATGCATCGTTCATTGTTTATTTTACTAACGTAAATGCATTATCTAATATTAACTAATGCAACCTTATTGTAAAGTGTTACCAACATTTTAACAGTCGATTCTGAAACCATAACCAGAATATCAACTCTTAATAATTTACCTGATTCTTAATGTTTAAAAGAATAAATACAAAATTTGTTAAATTTCAGTCTCACCGAGCCTTTAAAATGTTATCTTAGAAAAATACCATGAACACTTTAAAATCTTAAAATATCACACTGATTACAAAAATATTTTAAAATGCAATTAAATCCTGTGATTCAGATATTTTTCATTTTTAATGAAAAAAAGGGAAATCTTTTGTAACATCATAGCATATACTGTCATTTTAATCAATTTAATCCATTCTTGCTAAAATAATAGTATCATCCATCTTATTTTGCAATGTTTTTATTTTATTTGATCTTATTTTGCAAAAAAAAAAGTTTGATTTATTTGCCAATATATGAGTAAATTAACAAATGGCTGCAAATCTGAAAAAAATAAATGTGTAATTTTTAAGATATTAAGCAAATCAAATTAACTTTACAAGTAATTTCAACTTACATCAACTTCAAACATCAAGTTAAAATCTGTAACTTAAAAAATTAGATTTAAAACCTGATTCACTTACATCAAAACATGTCATGGCTTCTTATTTTTCACACTGTACTTGTGCACTACATCCCAGTGTGTTTATGAAAGTATATTAACATTAAAATAATAATCATCAATCAGCATAACAATCTGTTTTGAATCGCTAAAAATGAATGGAAGCCAATGAGAGTGGAAGCCTCGACACATAAAAATATCCGCCCTGCTCTTACATGTTAAATAAAGTGTATAAATGCACGTTAAAAGTGACTTGCGTTCCAGTGAGTGAGAAGCACTCAGGCTGATTAAGCAAATGAGTAAACGTGAAACCTTTGAATAATTCAAACTGATTCATGAGTCATTTTGTCTAGTTCGTTCAAAAGAATCATAAGAGTCATTCTGAATCAGGTGACTCTCTGCTTTGGTCTTCTGTTCATCCCACTTGCTGAAACATTAAGAATGAACTTCCAAGAGTTTTGAGATGGACATGCAGCGTAGTTAAAAATGATAATGCAAATACTATACTGTAGATAAATATGCAAAATCAGGGTTGATTCAAATTATGTGTATTAGGAGACAAGAAATGAAGAGCAACTGAAAGAACTTGAAACTGAAAAAGAAAAAGCATGTAATGCATAATGCAATAAACATTTTGTCACCTTTTCAGGTCACCAAGTCCCTTTATTAATCTGGGGTCGCCACAGCGGAATGAACTGCCAACTATTTCAGCATATGTTTTATGCAGCAGATGCCCTTCCAGCCACAACCCAGTACTGGGAAACACCCATACACACACACACATACGCGCAAACGCAAACGCACGCACGCACACAGACACACACAGACACATATATATGTACATATATATATATATATATATATATATATATATATATATATATATATATATATATATATATATACACACACACACACACACACACACACACACATATACACACACACACACACGACTAATTCAATTTAATTAATTCACCATTAGAGTTTGCAAGTTCTCCCCACACCAACACAGGAAGAACATGCAAACTCCACAGAGAAATGCCAGCTGGCCCAACCAGGACTCAAACCAGCGAACTTCTTGCTGTGAGGTTATTTGCTAACCACTGAGCCAACACACGCCACCCACCAGTGCCGATATACGGCCATACCGCACTGCTACTCCTGTGATACTGCTCATATATATATATATATATATATATATATATATATATATATATATATATAAATATATAAATATATACACACACACACACACACACACACACACATACATATATATATATATATATATATATATATATATATATATATATATATATATACATATACAAAACACTTAGGGAAAAAAGCTGACAAACTGGATAGACTCTACAGAAATAAGAAGTAATTTATTGTTGTTTATAAACTCAAAAGTAGATTCTGTGCACTTAAATTAACTCACCGAATCCACTTGAGGCCAGGATTTCCATCCAATAAATTTATTTAACACAAACTAAAAAAACTATTTACACAATTAAATGCACTTGAGTTGGTCCAACTTGATTTAATAAAATAAAAGTTTAAATACATTTGTATTTTTATTTAACTTAAACTCAAAGGTCTGATAATATCATGCGTGTCTATAATGTGTCGTACATTTCAAAGTCTCTTAGTTTTATTTGAAGTTATCCTAAATGAACTAAAAGATACTTTTATGCATATTTCATACATATACAGTTGATTGAGACCGATCTCAGAACTAATATTAGGCCAGTTATTGCTCACCGAGCAAAGCAACAAGCTGCAGTTTTGTTTGGAGGCTAGCTAGTAAGTGCTGTGCAGGTAAACCTCACCCCTCTGACCTCTAAAGGTGCTCTAGTGACAGTAGCTAGAGGCCATAGTCTTTAGGCTCCTTGTTAGAGGAACCAACTCCCATGCGGAAGGTCGCCGGTTCGATCCCAGCTCGGAGCAGGTTGGGTAGTGTAGGAGCGGTGGGGTTACAAATACACCCAAAGCATGGGTGCTTCTGCAAGGTTGTAATCTCAAAACATTATATGAAAATCTACAAAATCTTCAAACTGGAATTAAAGATTAAACACGAACAAGTGTTTCTATTGACTCCGATTACCATTATTGTCAACATTTCCCTCTCTTAACTCAATCCCACACAAAGCATATGGGAACTACAATCCCTTTACCCTTATCATGAATTTCTTCATGTTGTCCCAACACAAAACGCTTAAGTTAATGGTTTACAAATTTAGGTGGACTGAATATAAAACAAACAACTTGGCCAAAGAAAAGACAAGAGTTGTGTTGTTTCAGCTCATTTAAAACAGCTAGTTTCAGTCACTCAGGTCTTCACAGTAGTGGAAAGAATGCAGACGTTCAAGTAACGTCATGACAATCATTCATCACTGTTACCAGGAAAAACTCAACCGGTACTGAACAAGAACCGGTTCTTCCAAAAAAACAACCGGTCTTCACAAACTTGTTCTTGCAAGACTCTGTCCAACTCTATAATTATACTAATCATGATCAATGCTGCCTTCACTGCCCGTTTATTTGACTACATACTTCAATACAATGTTTTACGTATTAATGTATCACTTAACACAATGCAAACAAACAAATGTGTAGAGCACTTCTGCTGCTTGTGTTCATGCAAATCCTCATAAAGAGGAAAGAAGAGAAATAAAGAGGAAATAAATGAGACGTTTGCATACCGATCTGGACAAAGCCATCGGACGAGGGTTTACAGCAGGCCATTTCTCCTCTGGACACCTTCTCCTTCACAGAAAGCTGTAAGACATGCAGACACACCATCTGTTAGCACTTCACACTTCACTGCAAACCATTCAAAAAAAAAGACGCCTGAGAGATTTCAGGAAATTTGCGCAAAAAATGTAGTCCAGCAGGTTTGAGATCAGCTTTGAGCTTATTTGTTTTTGGGTGTCAGCTTTCTGTCGTTTTTAAGTGTTTAAAAGGGTGGATGACAAGGATCGAGGCCTCCTTGCAGAATGCAAATTAATACAAATGTCTGTGCAATGGCACTGAATCGAGACTAGCTGGGTCAGTTGGCATTTCGGTGTGGAGTTTGCATGTTCTCCCCGTGCTGGCGTGGGTTTCCGCTGGGTGCTCTGGTTTCCCCCACAGTTATAAGGGAATTGGATAAACTAAATTGGCCATAGTGTATATCTGCGTCCCAAATCGCATACTTATGCACTAATCTACGCCATTTTGTAGTATAAATAGTGTAAGTAGTGTGTTCACACTGAAAACTCTAAAAATAATAAGTGCACTTCAATTACCCGGATGATGCACTCATTCAGCCGCTAAAATGAAGTGTGTAATGATGAACACTTCACGCACTCAACAACCGCAGGTTTGCTTACGTAGCGAAAGGGGCGGAGCTATCGGACGCACATGTTGGATAACTTTATTTATTTTGGATGGTGAAAGCAAAATTCTCCTACGAGAGTGATTATATCGCCTCCCGATGGTGAATGCGGCAATACTTACGGCAGGTATTATTTGATAATTTGTTCGTTTATTTCACTGATTTGGCAACCGTCAAACCTCATCAGGGAAACGGTTTGAATTTCCGCTTAGTAAAAAAACATAAGTTCCTATCCTGTTGAGTGTGTAAGTGCATAAGTACATTGTGCATGAGTGCATAGTGTATAATGTGCCATTTGGGACGCAGCTTATGAGTGTGTGTGAATGTGAGAGTGTATGAGTGTTTCCCACTACTGCGTTGCAGCTGGAAGGGCATCCACTGCGTAAAACACATGCTGGAATAGTTGGCGGGTCACTCTGCTGTGGCGACCCCTAAAAGAAAGGGACTAAGCTGAAGGAAAATGAATGAATGAATGAATATAAGCTTGGGATTTGCTTGAAATTATTACATTTCCTATATTAACTGCTGACATTACTAGTTAAAATATCAGCCCAGCTTTTTATTACGTGGCCTTAAGTACTTATGGTACATCAAAAAATAAATACAATATACTTACTGTGCTTATATTGGGTCAACAGTGTAGTTATTACAGAAATGAAAGATGTAATTACACTTGAAGTCAGAATATATGTGTATGTATGTATGCATATTCATTCATTAATTTTCTTTTCAGCTTAGTCTCTTAATTAATCCTGGGTCGCCACAGCAGAATGAACCACCAACTTTATTCATTCATTCATTTTGTTGTCGGCTTAGTCCCTTTATTAATTTGGGGTCATCACAGCGTAATATATAATAACCGCTAACTTATCCAGCACATTTTTACGCAGCGGATGCCCTTCCAGCTGCAACCCATCTCTGGGAAACATCCACACACACATTCACACACACTCATACACTACAGCCAATTCTCATGTACCGCATGCCTTTGGACTGTGGGGGAAATCGGAGCACCCGAAGGAAACCAATGCGAACGCAGCATTTCTGTGTGGAGTTTGCATGTTCTCCCTGTGTTGGCGCGGGTTTCCCCTATAGTCCAAACACATGTGCTATAGGGGGATTGAATAAGCTAAATTGGCTGTGGTGTATGAGTGATTGTGAGAGAGCATGAGTGTTTCCTAGTAGTGGGTTGCAGCTGGAAAGGCATTCGCTGTTTAAAACATAAGCTAGATAATTTGGCGGTTCATTCCGCTGTGGTAACCCCTGATGAATAAAGGGACTAAGCTGAAGAAAAATTAATGAATTTACTTATAAAAATGATCTAACTGCATGTTTGGAACTGTTTGTTCAATTGCCTTTGACGAGGCGAATTCATCACTCACAATCATTCTATTATCTAATCAGCTCAAGAGCAAACCCCTATAAATAGTCAAACACGTCATACCTCCCTTTTCTCTCGACTTCAGCGTCCCTCCACCACCCCAACTCCACTCTATTAAACCCGATACCTATTTAAACCTGAGGGGGGAGCATTCTGGAGCCAGACACTGTGCTCGGACACTATCTCTCTTTATCTTGATACGACACGTGTCTTCCCGAGCTCAGAGCCCTCTCCCAGGACAGCACGCCAGTCCAATATCTGAGTGTGAATTCGTGAATTGTCTATTTGACGAGATGAAAGGTCGAGAAAATCTACATAAACCAGGCTGAACAAACTGAAACCACCCATTCTGTCGGCAGCTTTGGTTCAAAAGGATTTAAGGGATTTTATGGAATTTCAAAGTATTTAAAGGATTTCAAAAGAGTTGTGAAATACGCCAGCATGCATTGACAACAGTGTGTAGATCTGAATTACTGAATGAAAGATATAATCCAATAAAAGACGTCAATGCTTTAAGCAAACCAAAGACAGTTGTTTGATGAATCATAGTTAGTTTGCATAGTGGATGATGATGATGTTTATTTATATTTTTGTAATATGCATTGTGAATAATTTTGTTCCTGTTTTAAAACCTGGAGGTGCTGTTTGTTTCATGCATTAAGTGTACTTCAGTTAATCAGTTAAAAAACTCTGAAAGGGGCTAATAATATTGACATTAAAAATGTATTGCATTTAAAAAAGTGCATTTATTTCAGCCAAAATAAAGCAAATAAGGCTTAATAAAAATATTATAGGTAACACGGTGGCTCAGTGGTTAGCACTGTCACCTCACTGCAAGAAAGTCACTGGTTTGAGTCCTGGCTGGGCCAAGTTGGCATTTCTGTGTGGAGTTTGTATGTTCTCCCTGTGTTGCGTTGGTTTCCTCCGGGTGCTCCAGTTTCCCCCACAGTCCAAACACATGCGATAGAGGAATTGGATTAACTAAATTGTCTGTAGTGTATGAGTGTGAGAGAGTATGAATTATTCCTAATACTGGGTTGCAGGTAAAAGGGCTGTGTATGCTGGATAAGTTGGCGGTTCATTCCGCTGTAAGGATCCCTGATGAATAAAGGGACTAAGCTGAAGGAAAATGAATGTATGAATGTACTTTGCAGCCATACTTTGTTTTTTAATAGTGAGGACCACAAGGTAAACAAGCCCAGGGCTTTATTGTGTTTCTATCCTCGACGGTTTTAAGTAAAAATGTATGGGATACAACTCAATTTAATGGAATATAAGCACAGCTAGTGTTTTTCAGCCAATGATAAACTTCAGATGAAGCTTAAGGTGACTATTTACAATAACATAAGGTTCCTTTTACAGCATTGATGTTGTAATGTAATCACATTAAGATAAATAGACTTAAGCATTCCTTTAGTTGTTCAAGCATAAAACGAGATGAAAGATCGTGTAACTGTTAGCGCCGTCAGGACCAGCAGGCGAGCGGAGAAACTCCATTGAAAATACTGGGATAAAATAAATATACATATTTTAAAGACATGGCAGGGGGGAATGGAATTTAATGCAGTGCTTCTTGTCCAGTCTGAGACCCACTTTATTTTGTATGTCTATCAGGCAGTGAAGATCGCTGATTTTTAAAGAAATCAGACCTAAAAGGTTCACGAAACCCTCAAGTACTTTTGTTTGAAATTTTAGCAGATTTGTGTGTGTTGAGCATCAGTTAAGACACTGTTAGCACTTGACAGCTTTAATTGTGGGGAAAACTGGATAATTTTGAGCTTTTGTCAGCTAATTTCAGCTTACTGGTTTAAAAAGATTTTTGGGGCGGGATCAAAATCCGTGATGTAGCGCAGTACTGCAAGTGCAAAAATGACGCGTTGGTTTTTCATTATTATTCATAGCGGAGTTTTCTTATCCTATGAGAAGAGCCGGCTGCTTAATTGTTCATGACTGCACATGCTTTCTGAAGGTAAGACAGACCTGCCAGTGCCAAGCTGTGAGACATGGACCCACGGCACATAGTGTTTAGCTGTTGATGAAGGCTCGTATGTGTTTGTTTCCATGATCCATGGGGTTTGTTGCATCTTTTCCACGCGATGCTGTCAGGGCCAATATAGCAAAGCTGTTTGTGTGCAGCAAGCATTTTTGTCGGGAGAGCAGTACGAGAATTGGAGAATGGCGGACGTCGTCTTTTATCAGGAGTTCGTTCACATTTAGACACATTGCGGTGCTCCTGTGTTTGCCTAAATCCTCTATATTACCAGCAGGGCTAATGGTTAAAATAGACAGAGCGAGAGACCTGCTGCACTGTCTGCATTCAGGCCTATGTTTCAGGGATTGATGGAGAAGTCCTCATTTAGTGTTTATATAAACACGATTATCTTTATAATGATATAAATTGTGGTTATCTGTATATGAAATTATGATTAACAAATGTGGCAGAGCATTAAATTACTGTTTATTTCTTTGCATTTTAACTAAGTAAACTATAAAATCATGCGTCTCCTCATGGTTTGTGTCTCATTTTGTGCACCGACAGACAACAGTTGTTCACTCCCCTCCTTCTCCCCGGCTCTGCTGGCCACGACCTCTCCTGCCCTTTGCTCACAGAGCTCCACGCCCATTATGATGCATCTTTTGAAAAAATTCTGATGTAGACTTGAACCGAAAGTGGGGGGTGTCATGACACTTTAAATGTGGTGATTTTATAACGGAAAGACAGTTCACCGGAAGTGCTGGGGCTGGCTGACTGAAATTAAAAGTCTGTGTGCATATAGCCCATTTAATGCAATGTTAAATACTGTGTTACACTCATTTATGTCAAGTTTTATGGGTGAATGAACTCATTTGTACTCATTTGTTTGTTGAAAGAGGTTTTAATTTTGTCTGTGCAGTACTTTAACTTTTAATCATAATAGTTTTAAAAACTAATTAATAATAGCTCAATTCTATTATCTTTGCCATGACGACATTATAATACTCATTCATTGATTTTATTTTTGCCTTAGTCCCTTTATTAATCAGGGTTCGCCACAGTGGAATGAACTGCCAACCTATCCAGTGGATGCCCTTTCAGCTGCAACCCATCACTGGGAAACACTCATACACTCTCATTCACACACATACACTACGGCCAATTTAGCTTATTCAAGTGCTTGTGTTTGGACTGCGGGGGAAAACGGAGCACCTGGAGGAAACCCACGCCAGCACGGGGAGAACATGCAAACTTCACACAGAAATTCCAACTGACACAGCCGAGGTTTGAACCAGCGATCTTCTTGATGTGAGGTGACGTTGCTACCCACTGCACCACCGCAGAGTGCAAGATACTAGTATTCAACTTAAAGTGCAATATAAAGACTTAGCTGATTAGGTTGGATGGGCAAGTTAGATTAATTAGGCAAGTTATTGAATAACACTGGTTTGTTCTGTAGAAAATCTGAAAATTAAACCCGTAAATTATTTTTTTTTCTGAAAAAAAACTCAAGGGGGCTAATAATTGACCTTAAAATTTTATTTATTTTTATTGTCAGTGCAATATCCTAATGGTTAGCACGCTGACATATGGTTCAGTAGCACTTCAGGGCGTCCCAAGTTCGAATGCCTGCTCGAGAAGATTTCCCAGCCCTACCCCCTCTCTCTCCCACTTCGTTTCCTGTCTAAAGTACTTCCCTATCCTCTCAATAATGGCAAAAAGGCCAAAAATAAATCTAAAAAAAAAACTAACAAACAAAAAAATTTAATAATTTTTTTAAAAGTGCATTTATTCCAGCCAGAATAAAGGAATTAAGACTTATTCACAAATGCTGTGTATATTTTCTTGCAAATATCACATGAGGATGAATATCAACAACTGTATATGAGATAGATGTGGTATTAGTATATTGTTGATTTCTTAAAAACAGGTTAAATTGATTTATAAAACAGTAAAGTGTCTTTAGAATTTAACAATTATTATTTTACATAAATGTTTACTCACATGAACAGGAAGCACTTCCACTGTTGTGTTGTAAAACCGGTCACCATTTGTCTCAATATTGCCAGATCGAAAAAAGTACCTGAAAATGTGAAATAAAAAACAAAAACGTATTCAATAAAGTCCAGGATCATTTGTGTCAACACTGTGTTGGGTGTACTGAGTTACAAGCAGTGGTGGAAAGAGAAAAATCAGACTCAAGTAAAAGTACCATTACTTGCCTAAAAATGAAGTGCGAGTAGAGTAAAAGTATCTGTTGTAAATATTACAGATATAACTATGAGTAAAAAGTAGACATTTCAAAAGTACTCAAGAGTAGTGAGTATTAATCTGTAAAAAGCTGTAGCATTTACATGGAATTTGTGGATTAGTGTAAACGTAACATTCTGTAGTGCATTTCAAGAGTTCACACTTAGCTGATGATTAATTATAAAAGCTTGTTTGGCATGCTGTCCCGGGAGAGAGCCCTGAGCTCATGAGATCCTCGAGCCCAGGGCTCCCTCCCGTTGCAAGGCGGGAGGGGAGTTTGAGCTCAGGTAGATCTCGAGAACTCCCCTGCTGTAGCAAGTGAATGCTCTTGAAATTAATTACTAACTAGAAGCGTGTCTATGTTGACAATTTGGATTGTTCAATTAACTTAATTGCATGTTTTTAGGCGGTGGGAGGAAACCGGGGAACCCGGGGGAAACCCACGTGAGCACGGGGAGAAGTGCAAACTCCACACAGAAATGTCTGTGAGGCGACAGTGCTAGGCACTGGGCCACCGTGTCACCCGTCTAAGAAGGAGGAGTGGGGGAGGAAGGGGGGACTCTTCAAAACGAAGATAGCAATGGAATAAACCCCAGAGTATTTATAGTAGTTTAGGAGTCATCTGATTGGATCGTAGTGAATTAGATAATGCGGGTCAGCTGCTAGCAATCATAAGCACGTGATCCTCTCGAAATTTGTTTATACATAAACTTCACTTAGTTATTGCCCAGCAGGCACACAACATCATAAGACGTTACTATTAGGTTAGATTTAGGTTGTGATGTCAGATGACCAAAATTCAATGTCTAGCCAGCGTCTAAGGATAACGTTATTTTGATGTCCAATAATGACATCAAATGATGTTGATATTTGGTTGACTTTAGGTTGTGTTGGAAACTGACCAAAGTCCAACGTTGAGTCAATAACTTAAACCAACATCCTATTGACTTCAAATATTCACATTTTTTTTCATCAGACATGGCAACCAAAATCCAACGTCTGATAGACGTCATAGTGGTACGTCCACACAACGTCAAGCTGTAACATCATTAGACGTTGATATTTGGTTGGTTTTAGGTTGAACGTTGGCCTGACCTTGAATTCTGACATCAACATGATTTTCAATTCCAAACAAAATGCAATGTCTAACGTCATGTTGACGTCTTGTGCCTGCTGGGTGTTTAAGGCCATTTCAGTCATCTTACAGTAAACATCCGTCATCTTCTCATCAGTGACATGCATCTACACAGTCTCTGGGTCAATGAGTGTAAAGGTTTTGGACATCTTCTTAAACACTTTTAATGCTTCCAAACAGTTTGCTGCCATTATAAATCGCCCATGTCTTGAGGTAGTTCATTATGATGTGATTTACCTTCTGTGTGTGATTTGACTGGACAGGAATTACAGGACTGATTTTTCTAATCCCCATAGACAAAAAATAAAGCAGTGACTGCAGGTTGAAGGAAAGTAGTGGAGTAAAAGTACTGATACTGCACTAAAAATGTACTCAAGGGAAAGTAAAAGTACACATTTATAAAACTACTTAGTAAATTAAAATTCCTGAGAAAAACTACTAAATTACAGTCATTTGAGTATTTGTAATTAGTTACTTTACACCACTGAGTACAAATTAGTGTAATTCAATTACTTATCCCCAAAAAAACTAGGAATTATTTTTAAGTCATTTATATAAAATTACTTATAATATTCATTCATTTTCTTGTCGGCTTAGTCCCTTTATTAAAAAGGGGTTGCCACAGCGGAATGAACCGCCAACTTATCCAGCAAGTTTTTACGCAGCGGAGGCCCTTCCAGCCTCAACCCATCTCTGGGAAACATCCACACACACACACACACACACACACACACACACACGCACACATACACACACACACACACACACACACACACACACACACACACACACACACACACACACACACACACACACACACACACACACACACACACACTCATACACTACGGACAATTTAGCCTACCTAATTCCCCTGTACCGCAGGTCTTTGGACTGTGGGGGAAACCGGAGCGAAGGCAGGGAGAACATGCAAACTCCACACAGAAACGCCAACTGAACTGACCTTCTTGCTGTGAGGCGACAGCACTACCTACTGCACCACTGCCTCGCCGCACAACTTATAATATACTTGTCTTAAATATTGTAAATAATTTCAACAGTTTTGTTTAAATCAACTCAGAGAAGCAGAGTAATCATTTTTGGTTATAGAAACATTAAGTACAACCACTTCATTTATCAGCACAATTGCACACACTTTAAAGATAAGAGTCAGAAATATGAAATATTGTGTGATTCACATGATTATTTTTTTGCAGTTATATTCCCTATTTCTCCAGAGTTCACTCCATTTCTTAACAAAACAATATTAGGTTTGTTGTTAAAATGAATAACATTAACAACTGCTGAAGTATTATTATTTAAATAAAGCTAAAAGCCCTGTTGTTTGATTTATTTATGTTCATTTATTCATTTTCTTTTGGTTTAGTCCCTTTAATCATTAGGGGTCGCCACAGCGGAATGAGCAACCAACTTATTCAGCATGTGTTTTACACTGCAGATGCCCTTCCAGCTGCAACACAGTACTGGGAAACACCCATACACTCACATTCACACACACTCATACACTACAGCCAATTTACTGTAGTTCATCCAATTCCTCTATAGCGCATGTGTTTGGACTGTGGGGGAAACCGGAGCACCCAGAGGAAACCCATGCTAACACAGGGAGAACATGCAAACTCCACAGACAAATGCCAACTGACACAGTTGGAACTCAAACCAGCAAGTTTCTTGCTGTGAGGTGACAGTGCTAACCACTGAGCCACCATGCCGCCCTCATTTAACTTCATTCATTTATTTTCTTTTCAGCTTAGTCCCTTTATTAATCTGGGGTCGCCACAGTGGAATGAACCGCCAACTTATCCACCATATGTTTCGCTCAGCGCATGCCCTTCCAGCTGCAACCCATCACTGGGAAACATCTATACACACACACTCATACACTACTGTCAATTTTAGCATACCAAATTCCCCTGTACCACAGGTGTTTGGACTGTGGGGGAAACCGGAGCACAAGGAGTAAACCCATGCCAACAGGAGGAGAACACGCAAACTCCACACAGAAATGCCAACTGACCCAGCCGAGACTCGAACTAGCAACTTTCTTGCTGTGAGGTGACAGCGCTACCCACTGAGCCATGTTTATTAAACCTAAATTAAATAATTAACAGTTAAATAAGAGTTCAATTTCTACAGTCTGTGCTGAGATTTATAAGGATTTATAGGTATTACTGAGTCAAGTAATTAACTTCCTTACTAAATAAATAACTTTTTTAGTAATTACTAAAGTAGATTAAAACAGTTGTAATGATGTAAAATACTGTTTCTTCCTCAACATGGATCAACACATTGCTTTTATTTTCAGTTATAATGTGACAAGCAAAGATGATCTGCGCTCAATAATGAATGAGATAATACAACATGAGCTCAACCACTTTCACTGGCAGAGCGGTGATAAAAACAAAACGCTATTGGCTACTTTTTAAAAAGGGGAGGAGCTACTCTATGTCCCACCCTCTTTCCATTTTTTTTGTTGAGATTACGTCATCAACATTTAATAAAAATGCACATTTCAAAGCACTTCATGCGACCTTTAACCCATAAGGCGTTGAAGATTGTTAGGTAAGTAGACACAACAAAGGAGTTCCTCTAGGCTCATTCACACTGCAAATGTCATCGGACCACATTCTTAGATCTTGACTTAGTTTTGAGGAGCTCAACTAAGGTCAACTGCTGTGTGTGCTTGAAGCATAGGTCTTAAACTGGATTCCTGGAGGGCCGCAGCTCTGCACAGTTTTGCTCCAACCCTAATCAGACACAGCTAATCCAGCTAATCAATTTGCTCAAGACTACTAGAGACTATAAAGCAGGTTTGGGTTGGAAGTGGTTGGAGCTAAACTATGCAGAGCTGTGGCCCTCCAGGAATTGAGTTTGAGACCATTGTCTTAAAGCAGGGTTGTCCAAACTTGGTCCTGGAGGGCCGGTGTCCTGGAGAGTTTAGCTCCAACTTGCTTCAACACACCTGCCAGGAAGTTTCTAGTATATCTAGTAAGAGCTTGCTTGATTATCTGGTTCAGGTGGGTTTGATTAGGGGCAGGACACCAGCCCTCCAGGACCAAATTTAGACATCCCTGGTTTAAAGCAACACTCCACTTTTTTAGAAATATTCGCAGTTGAGTTTTACTATTGTTGAATCCATTCAGATGATCTCTGTGTTTGGCGAGCCCTTTTTTAGCTTAGCTTAGCATAGATAATTGAATCAGATTAGACCGTTAGCATCCCATACATTGTGCATTAAGACTGACAGAAAACATCAGAATGAGCAAGTGATTTACAATCCTGACTGTGAAAATTCTAGAAAAATTCTCTTATTTTCCTTCGGCTTAGTCTCTTTATAGGTCATCACAGCGGAATGAACCGCCAACTATTCCAGCAAATGTTTTATGCAGTGGATGCCCTTCCAGCTGCAACCCGGTACGGGAAACACCCATACACACTCATTCACACACACACTCATACAACACGGACGATTTAGCTTATTCAATTTACCTATAGCGCATGTGTTTGAACTGTGGGGGAAACCCACACCAACACGGAGAGAACATGCAAACTCCACACAGAAATGACAACTGACCCATTTATATGTTTTATTATTCAGGCATATACTAATGGTCACTATGTATGTTAATAAATGCTTTATTGACTCAACTTCATCTAGATTTGTGACCTAATCTAAA